ATCTCTGAGGAGCTCGGTGGAGCCCTCCTCGGCAACAGGCCACGCCCCCAGGAAGCCCTAGAATCCAGTTTATTTATTGGGTGGCAAAGGTGGGTAAAACATACTCAACATTTAACATTTGTTATATTATATATTCATGTTTTTTTTATTAGAAACTCCTTTTTTCTGACCAAAATCTCCTTGTAGGGACTATTTATATTGTACATATCCAAACCATATCATTAATAGGGGATTACATAAGTTGTAGTCAGTACTCTCTGAACACAAGAGATTTTTATTATATTAACCAATCATTGATAATTTTACATTCCAACCCAATACACACAGCCCTGTTCTGTACTGATTAATACTACAGTATGGATTCAGTGTAAATCATGCAATGTTGCACTTTCTTTACTAGTCTTGATTTACTGAGCAATTATTTTATCACTTACCTCAAACATTATGCAATATAATATATTAGATTACTGTCTAATAACTGCTGGATTACATAATTTTATGTATCCAATTTTTTACAAAAGCACTACACTTAGTAGCAGAACTCTTTGTCTTAATTTTGGCACCAACTGCATTCAAACCATTATTTTTTGAGCTAACAGTACCTGCAAAAGTCGAGCATATTCTACAGTTATGTGTAACCTTAGAGAGTTGAGAGAAGCATCCATTCATAATTGTTTGTCATTTCTAAAGCAATTGGTCTGGTATAAATGTCTGCTTTAAATGATGTTTATATAAAAATGAAATTATGAGTGGTCTGTATTTATTTAGTATTCTTCAACAGATTTTAAATGGATTTGTCCAAACATTAGTTTTATTTAATTTGTAGTAAGAAGAATAAAATAAGAACTGGAAAGAAAACACTATGAGTACAACTGGAAAATCAAGCCATTGGACTGGTCATAAAATTCAATGCAAGATCTATGTACAAAAAGTGACTCATTCAGAAACATTCTTAACCATGCTTGCAACAGATTCCTTGGAATTAGTAATGCCTGTCTATCTTGATTAAGTGATTCAACAAGTCTAATCAAGAATGAGAAAATCTGGACAGAGTCCAATACCTGTTTAAACAGAAGGAGGAATCGATACTTACAACAGGATTCTTTGTATTGGGGTCAAATTCTGTTGAATTTGCATCTGTAGAAAAAAAAATTAATTAAAAAAACTGATGTAAACTCTATAGGTTGTGATGATTAAAATGCTCTTCTCATTGGCTTTTTAATATTATACATAATATATTCTTCAATTAAACAATATGAAGTAAACCACTAAAATAAGCATGTTCTGACTAGACACATTTACGAATGATGCCCTAATTGACATTGTGGGCAGAGACTCATATCATTGATAGCAAACATAACAGAAGTAAATCTATAAATATAGTACTTCCTAATTGCTTTCTTGCTCTGAGCACGTGCTTAAAAGTCCCTATGAACAATAAGGAACATTAAGCTTATGCATTAGTTTTAATAATTTTGGTATGCCTGAAATTTGTACCCCTAAACTATTGTGATTGCAACAATGGTAGAAAAAAGCTGATAATTAAAGTAAGAAAATGGGCATTATGACACAAAGACTGCCTCATCAGTTTGTTGCATATGACATTGTGATGCAAATATGAAAGGCAGGTTTTGCATTGTGAGACACCTTTAATCATTTTGACATCATTATAGTTAGCTGCAGATACCTATGGATAATCAAAAATACCGTAAACATAGTAAGCATTACAAAACAAGATAGAAAGACATGCATATGGTTTAGAGAACAAATGAAAGTATATGATATCATCAAGAGAGTAAAATAATTGAAATGAAAATCGGCTGGTCGCATAGCAAGAAGAACTGATGGCAGGTGGACCAAGGCAGTCATAGAATGGATCCCATTTGATAAAAAGCTTCCATGAAAGAGACCTAAAACACGATGAATCTATGACATCAGCAAGTATTGTAGGCCCAATTGACAAAGAAAGCTCAGGGTCATATAGGTTGGAAACATGCAGAAGAGGCCTTTATCCTGCAGTAGATAGACAATGGCTAAAATGATGATGAATCAAGAACTCAAAAGGGTATTGCACAAAGATGTAGATTTGACTACTCTTGGTGATCAAAGTGTTTTTTTCTTCAATTGTTAGAGTTTCATTAGAAATATGATCCCACAAGGAGTGTGGAATTTTCTTCAGTCAGGTTAAAGGCATCAACATCCTGTCTTTACTTGGATGAATGGAAGATTCCTAAAAGTCTAGCAAGGGATACTGAAGGGAGCTGAAATTTAAGAAGTGAAACTTATTACTTGAAATATGTGATTGACTCATAGAAATTTTACTTACAGTGCAGTTGGGAGTTATGCAGCACCAAAATTGAATCAAATAAATAAACATATACCATGTTTTCCTGAAAATACGACCTACCCCCAAAACAAGCCCTAGCCCAATTTTCATGCCTGCACCTAATATAAGCCCTATCCCCCAAAATCAGCCCTAATTAAGCCCTGCCCACTGTCTGGTTATATGAGGTGGGGCGAGGCACAAGTGTAAAAATCAAACTAGGGCAGGGGTGGACCTGTCTCATGTGCCCAGCATCTGGACCACCACAACGGCCTCCCACACCCTGACAGTTGCTATGCTGCTGCCCAACTTCTTCTGCAGCCGCATGTGGCCGCTTTTGGCCAGATGCCATGTGGCGCATCACACTGGTGTCGCCGTTCGCGGACTCATTGCGCCAGCTGCTACTCGTGTGTGCAACAGCACAACAAACCACAAAGTCTCCTGTCGCTAGCGGCAGCACAAGTGTGACAAGCCACGTTGAGATAGCAGGCTGAACCAAGGTAGGTCTCAAGCCTGAACCAAACTAGGGTCTCATGATATTAAGCTTTAACTGTCCATATATAGAAAGTGCAAAGGTTTGCTTTTAGGACATGGTGCGGTTAGACACGGGTTAGAGGCACATGAAACCTGCTGAGGCAAAGTCTCAAGTTTTCTGGCTTGACTGTCTGAAAGACACATTTAACTTCCTCAAAATACGAGGTACTCTGCTCCATTAGCTGACTATGTATTATCACCTTCTGTAGACATAATATTGCTGTAAAGGGCGAATCTTGAGGGATGTTTCCAAAACTAACAGATGGCTTTATCTGAACGCGATAAACTATATAAGGGATTTCCTGCCTGCCACTTGTGGTTCAGCCCTGTGTCTCTGAACTTGCGCAATAAACTATTCCTTCCCTGGAGAGCTGGCTTGCGTGTCCTGTTTTTTCTACAACAACACGGCATCTGGCTGCAAATGAGAGGCACAGAAGAAGTCTGGCAGTGGCACAACAGGTGTCAGGCCATGGGAGGTGTGTGGCTGCGGTAGTCATAAGGTAAACGGATAAGACATCCCACCAAAATAAGACGTGGTGCTTATTTTGGGGCCAAAAAGAAAATAAGACCGGGTCTTGTTTTTGGGGAAACATGGTATAAGTAACATATTATTGACAAATAATGAGATAATTCTATTAAAAAAACCCAATGTTGAATATTTTTCTGGATTCCTCCTGACATGCTTTTCCTAGGGAGGGAACTTCTTATACAACAATTCTGCTAAATAAAATTATCTTGCTTTATTCCCTCAGTGTGATTAATTAGTGAATGCAGAACTACCTCCTTCTATAAATGGAGCTTATAATTGCTAGATTTTTACTAAGTTGTATGGGGCTTACCCGCAAATAATTATATATAAAATAGCATTGATTAAGTACATACCTTGCCAGTTTAGAGAGTTCCTTGCAAATTCCACTACTGCCAGCTGCATTCCCAGACAAATTCCTATAAGTAACAAAAATGGTAAATGATACAATTCAACATATGCATATATATATTTCCAGCCAAGAAACAGAACATATGTAGCTGCTTTGTGATCCCAAAAGCAAAAAAGTGAAGCATAGATTTAAAAAGAAAATGTGACAAAGGTTGTCCTCAACTTTACAACCTGCTGCCTAACCACCATTCACATCCAGAAATGGATGGATTGGGTGCTTTATGGCCTGTAGAGAGCATGTGTGCCCATACAAACATACATTATAAATTGTTGTACTGTCCCCTGTGGTCATACGACATTATGACACGTGCTCAGCAACCAATCACTTTTATAATTAATTGCAACATTCTGCAGTGATGTGACCATGATCTGCATTTTTTGCTGCTTCCCAGTGCATTTTGCTAGTTTCCAGCAAAAACAATCCATATAGAAGAATGGCTTTGCCTAATGAACACAGTGATTCTCTTGACAACCACCACAAAAGATGTAAAAAATGTGTGTGTATCACAGAGGGCCTTGACTTACAACTGCAATGACTTAAAGCTAGATTTCTGTACACAATTGTGGTTGTAAGTTAAGGACTACCTGTATTTATCACTTTGAATTCTAAACATCATCCTTTCTTCTGCATTTACATTGCTCTAATATTTGATCTTTTCTTCATCTTAGGCACAAGATTAATCAACATATTCGCCCCTGAATGTTATTATTAGAAAGTAACTAGGAGCTAGGAATAAGAGCTAGACAAATTTTCCTTGAATATAGGTAGTTCTCGACTTACAACTTTTAGTGACCATTCAAAGTTACAACAGCAGTAAAGAGTGATTTATAACCTTTTTTCACACTTACAACTATTGCAGCATCCCCATAGTCACTTGATCAAAATTTAGTTGCTTGGCAACTGGTTCATATTTATGACACTTGCACTGTCCTGTGGTCATGTAATCCACCTTCTATGACCATCTGACAAGAAAGTCAATGGGGAAGCCAGATTCACTTAACAACCAGGTAACTAACTTATCAACTGCAATGATTCACTTAACAACTGTGACAAGAAAGTTCATAAAATGGCAAAGCTCACTTAATAAATGTCTCACTTAACAACATAAATTTTAGGTTCAATTGTTCAATGGTTCAATCCTAAGTCAAGGACTACCTGTACTCACCTATTATAGCAAACTGCAATGGTTTTTGCAAATTGCCAGACAAATCCATAAACTGAAACATCAAGGGTGGGATGGGGATATTTTCTTTTCTTTTTTGGAAAAAGGGGATAAAAAGAGCTTTGTTGCTCCCTGACTGGTAATTGTCCAAAAGCAAGACCTGATTGGAAGTTGTTCTTTGCATCCTATTGTTCCCTAGAGTCAACAGAAGGCCAATATGAGGTCACCCTGAAGCCAACCAAGGCTTTGTGTCTGTTTTTGTCTTTTCTTCCCTGTCATTTAAGGAAAAAAATACCTTTATTATGGATATGGCATAGCAGCTCCTCAATGAGACTGTGCAAGAGAGGAAGAGGTGGCAAAGTACAATACCACCATTTCACCAAGCAGCAGAGGAAAAAGTTAGAAACCAACTTGTTTTAAGGCAACAGAGAACAAGCTGTAAATTTTTCCACTGAAGTAGAAGCCAGATCAATTTCCACAGCTCCCAGGACATTTCTGAGAGAGCTGCTACATGAGCTCACAAGCTTCTGAACTGGCATTTCTGCTTTCAAATTGGAGATTCATAAGCCTGGGAAATCTGCTTTGAACAAAAGTTATCAATTATGCAAAATTAAAATCACTTCACTTCCTGTGTACATTCTTACCAAGAAAAGGCTTTTTCTTCTTTCTTGCCCATGAAATGGCTTGAAGTTTTCCTTCAGTTCCCCTATGGCCGAAACCTCCAGGTACTAATATGCAACTGAAATAATACACAATACCAAATTCAAGCATAATAATTTAAATTTGAGATTTATGTGCATCTGTGCCATACTTTTACTGATAGGTAGAACATAAAAGACCTTTTATCTGAGTTTTTCATCTGTTGGTGTATGTACTTAACATTTTATCAGTGAACGTTATTTCAAACATACCATTATGATACTTAAGGTGTGACCTCCATTAAGGACAATTTTAAAAAATCTTTGTCTGCATTGCACAAACCTGTTTCTTTTTCACATAATAATATTACCAATGAACATAAACTAAAGATTTCTTTTTATTATAACTTACTTCAATTCATAGTTTAGGACATTAGCAAAAACTAAATAACTCAAAAACCCCAGTAGAAATACTTCAGCAAAAATAAGGCTGAGACTTCCAGTAATGCATAGCAAGAGTTGGGTCCCTGTATGCTCTACACATTGACATATCAAATGTTCAAGTTTTGGTTTTAAATAAAATTAAAATGCATTTGTTTATAAAACAAAAAACAAGAATCAACCTGGTAAATCGGAATGGAAACTGAAGAAAAAGGCACTTGCTTACTCTGCTTTACATAGCTTCTGCCAAGCCTGATGGAATCTCACCGGATTCTCAGCCTCCATAGCAGGTTCAAGGTCTGTTGAATCTATATACTAATTGAATAAAAAAGCAGGGCATACTTTAAATATATGTATATATACACACACATTAAATACAGTGGAACTCTTCCCAATGTAAAAATCTTAACAGTTTACAATTAGTAAAGTTTTGAATTTGCAAAGCTTATACTCTAGCACTGATAGTGATAGTACTCTAAGTATTAGGGAGCTACTGAATTATGTAAATTTTACATAGAGACATTTACATAGTGCAGAACAGATTAAATAAAACATGGGCTTCAGAATGTTTTTCAAATTTATAAGGAAAGGGTTATTTCAAATGAATGAGCTGCCATTTATCTTGCCAAGTGCACAGCAGATTAAAAAATAGAAGGCTGTGTAAAAAAACAAAATATGTTTAAACTTAATAATTCAACAGTTATTATTACTGGTGGCACGTTTTTCATAATATAATAATGCAATTCAAGATATAAAATGGACTTCTAATTTCCTTTTAGGGATATAATTTCTATATTAAAAAAATCAGTTGGATCAAAGAAAGATATTTAAGGTAATTAAATAAAGAGGCTAGTTTCTAGGAATCTTCAATACAATGGTTAAATATTTTAATAGGATATTTATTTCCAGCAGATAAAATGAAAATGTTTAACTTCACAGCAATGATACATTACAAATTATACCATTTTGTCCTTCTAAACCTATAATCATTTTGAAAATCATTCATAAATAATAACAGCCCTTCTGTACTTTGAAAGTTCCAGTAATTCACACATCAGCATCAGGATCTTTATTTCAAATCAGGAGAATTATGAGCTGCATACAACAGCCATGGTGGCACAGTGGTTAGAATGCAGTATTGCAGGCACATTCCAGGAGTTTGATTATGAGTGGCTCAAGGTTGACTCAGCCTTCTATCCTTTCGAGGTTGGTAAAATGAGGACTCAGATTATTGGGGGCAATATGCTGACTCTGTAAACCGTGGAGTGGTATGTAAGTCTAAATGCTATTGCTGTTGCATTTTCTAATTGATATTATTCACACAAACTACAGATCATGTTTCAATAGAACCAATGCTATATGCCAGCCAATGACAACATTTGCTGGAAATATAGAGGTTGGAGGATTGGGCAAGGCTGCCTGTGTCTTTCTTACAATCAATGTATATATTAAAATATATATTCATACAATTATCATTGAAATAGCAGCTCTGACTTTGTGAGAGAGCTTCACGTAAAGCTGGGCGACCTTAAGTTTTTTCAGTACTGCTTTAACCAACTTCACATGCTCCGCCATGGTTTTAGTATAGATCCGTATATCATCTAGGTCAGGGGTCGCCAATCTTTTGGACCTCACAGACCACTAATTCATAATTTTAAATCCGGTGGACCACTAATATATTTTTTAAAAAGATAAATACTTTCCTAAAATAATGATCAGATAACTTCCATTTTATTAATATGAAATGCACCTATTTAATATAACAAAATTATAAGCACTTATTTAATTATAACAAAATCATAAATGCTTATTTAATCATAACAAAATCTTTAAAGGTTGTTTAATTGTAACTGTAATAATTGTTAATTATTACAGTTAGTTTAATTATTACAAAATAATTGAAGCTTATTTAATTATTACACATTTTTAGTGTGATATTTGTTTCTCCTTGTTTGAAATAAGTTTATGGATTTTTGGCTCCAATGATGTTACTGTAAGATAAAGAGCCATTTTTATTTCAAGCTGAGACCGGTACCAAGTTTTAATTGCTGTGACAGATGAAAATGTCTTTTCGCACAAATATGTGAAATAACCCTGCAGGGGGGTGAGTTGACCTGGGTCTCAGTCCACAGTTTTCTGCTTCTCCCGTCCACCTGGAGAGATCCAGTCCCAGAGGAGGCCTGGACAAAGCCTCCCTCTAGCACTTGCTCTCTTCCTGATCGCTCCCTTGAGCCAACATCATGTGCAGGGTCCCTATGGTAGAGGTAATGTCAACAATCCACCTAATGCCCCACTGATCCCTTAGGAAAGAAAAACCCTTGCCTTCATTTGGTTGAAGTGAAAGATACTTTTACTAAGAGATGCTAGTTACAGTAAAGTAAGACAGAATCTGATTTTCCTGTGCATCAACACAAAATGATTGTCTTCAGTCCTGTCTCTCCCCCCATGACCAGTCCAAATCCAACTGATGCAATGCTGTCGGGATGGTTTGGGAATACTGAGGTGTTTGGACTGGTAACTCAGGCTGGCAACTGAGGTGTTTGGGCTGGTAACTTTCAGGGCAAACGACCTTGATGATGCCTTGGCACGAACTAGTTCCATACTGATCTGCTTTTCTTCAACTGTCATTCTCCCCTCCTGAATTCCCACACAAAAGCATGCAGTTTTATTGCCCATTTCTCTCCCTCCATCCCTCCCCTTTAATCCTTTGAAGGCAGGATGCCAGTGCGGTGCCAAGCCAAAGAGTGTGGACCTGACACTGCTTAGCCGCATGTAAAAAATATTGTCATAATGCATACAATTGTGAGTAGGATTAATATATCAGTTAAACCAACCAGAGTCACTTTAGTGAGATAAGCAGTGCATAAATTTTATAAATGAATAAATGAAATAATATTAATTAAGAAATAACATATTTCTCAGGAACATGGGATTCTCTTTATCTTTCAGAAATTCCACTATGGAAATTATTATAACAACTCTCAGGGCAAAACCACATACTTCAATTGCTTTAGAAAATGTGCAAAAAATATTAAAGAGCAGATGTCACTGAAAAAATAAACCTTAGAAACACCATAGGATGTTTACAAAATATAAAGAAACAAGGAAAAGGAAAAATCAATTGAGTCTCACCATTAGATCAAGTTTGTGATTAATTGCTATAGCTGAATGCTCTAATGCCTTGAAAACAGAGGTGTAGCAATCACTCAGTTTTGTATACTTTCCAACTAGAGCAACAGAACAGCTCTTTAGCATCCTCTCATACCTGGCAATATAAAAATCAAATAATATATAGATTTCCAAATATTTCAGCAGGTATTAAAATATTATAAATTTGGACTGGATATAGTGTGTGTGTGTGTGTAAACAGGTGAAGCCATGTTCTTTAAGTGTCAAAAACAGATTGGAAGCAGCTGTATTATAATTAAGGTTCACTCTCTAAGTAAGAAAGACAAAATAACAAAAGCTTGAAATATTTTTAAAACACAAAAACCCAGTTTATTTTACTTGTAGCTGCAGTGGTATCACCATTTGAATTTCCTGTTCCTCTGAATTTACTCAAGCCATCTTAGAGAATGAAAGCCCTGCACAAATATATGTATAAATGGCTCATGGCTAATTTATTATTAAATAAGTAAGTATAAGTATAATCTTTATTGTCATTGTACTTAAATACAACAACATTGGTTTTAGTCTCACTGGTGCAAAATTATAACAGAAACAAAAAAAGAAAGAAAAAGAAAAAAAAGCTAGCCTGTACATGGAGTGATTGTGATTGTATTTAAAAGTCTCACAGCCCAAGGATAGAAACTATCTTTAAAACTGTTTGTTTGGCTGGCTATGCTTTGAAGTCTTCTGCCTGATGGTAGAAGTGCAAAGAGACACTGACCAGGGTGTGAATCATCTCTGAGTATCTTCCTTACTCTGCTAAAGCAGCGAGATTACATATGAAATCAGTGTTTCCCAACTCTATTAACTTGAAAATGTCTGGAGTTCAGCCCTCCAAAGTTTGCTGCTATTTATTGCATTTGAGATAAACAATTTTATTGATAACATTTGTAGCAAAAGCCTTAAAATGTATAAAACATACTGGAAAAGAAATTTTAATGTGACTTTAAAATGAATCAAAGAAACAAAGTATCATTATTTTCATGCAAGCAGCTAAATACTTTCTTTTGCATACACAACTCCCTCAGAAGAGTCATCTTCCAAATCGTTCAGTCCTTCCTACTCCTTTCTATGATGCTCCAAAATATCAGGGAGGGTTTGATATTGTAGTTAAAAAAATAGAATGAATGGAATTGTGTTTACCCTCTCTTTTATTTTTTTACCCTCTCAATATTTTTATTATTTTATACTTTCTTTTCATACATTTTGGCCA